CCCCAAAACCCCAAAACCCCAAAACCCCAAAACCCCTATTTAAAGATTTTTTATTGAAAACAATTAATATTGTCCATTAATCATTATGTATTCTCTGAAAGGATTCTCACGATTATATACTTTGACTAGGTCTGCTTCTGGAATATCACAGGCCTCTAGAAGGTTCTTCATGGGGTCAATGAAGTCCAGGCCTACATTGACAGCATCAAGCCCCTCTTATAGCAGCATTTTTAAAAACCAAGTTGCAAGATCTCATAAATTAACATTATTTGTAAGCAGGCTCCTAAACCTTTAGAATCAGGCTTCACAGAGGCATTTTTCAGATCAGACTGATAAGCCAGGAAGTTACGGAATGTTTGAGGAACTCAGGGAAGAAGGTAAATTATCATAATTGACCCTATAGATGACTCAAGAGCAGCATCAGCTAAGAACCTGAGTCTTCAGTTGATAAACACAGAAACCTCTCATCACGTTCTAAACATTTTTGAAAGAGATTTCTTGAAAGCTGGTAAAGACCCAATCTATGCAGAAGAGCTTTGCCTCCTCCTTCATTTTGTAGTCAAGCATATGGGAGAAGTAGCTGGAGATATTCGGCTTGATAGCTTACTCAGAATGCTTTTCCAAAGATTCGAAAATGTTGATTTTGAATACTGACAGACAACTGTTTGGTCCCTTGGCGTCTTAGTCAGCTTTAGAGGACTTCACATCAAACTTGAAACGAAGAAGAAAATTTTGGCAGAGTTAGCAAAACATGAGGTCCCTGAAGAGCAAATTATGAATATTCCTTCATTGGTATTCTCCCTTTCAACATTTTTCTCCCCACAAGAGATTGACTCTGAAGTTCATGATGTGATGAAGAAGTTGATTACGACTTATTTGAACTCAGACCAGGAATCAATGCAGGCTGTTCATGCCTCTACTTTATTAATCGGGCTGAGTAGGGCTAATTACCATAATGAAGAGTTCCTTCATAAAATTGCTACTGAAATGAAGAGACCAAGATTCTTCTTTACTGCTGCAGAAGCAGATATTGTTAATATTGTCAGTAGTCTGGCTGAGCTTCACTATAAAGATGAAGAACTTCTTAAAGCCATTCATGAAGATATTCAAATGAAAGTGGATGAAATGAAACCATATCATGTGTTGGTATTGGCTCAATCATATGCAAGATTGATTCCTAATAAAAAAGAGTATTACATTGATATCGCACCAAGACTTGTTGAAGTATGCGAGATGAAACCAGAAATCTTTGACACTGCTCTTTATGCAAATCAATGGTTAACATTAGCATGCTTCAGAGGAGAAGAAAGTGATGGCAGGATTTTTGGAATAGCTAAAACTTTCCAAAAAGTGATGAATACACAAGATAGGTTCTCTTATAAAGATTTCTCAACAAGCGAGGCATCTAATATCCTTGTAGCAATAACTTCTTTGAATGCGATCTCTCAAACTAAATCCCTCTCGGTGAAATTTACCAAGCCTTTCGTTGGTATCCTAGCCAAAGGGTTAAAAGAGATGCAAACAATGGACTTGATAAACACAGCCAAGACTTCTTACTACCTTCGTGAGTTTCCTGAATTTGCTGACTTTTATCATTCTGTACACAGTCAGTTAGTGCAGAGACTTACTAGCCTGAGTGAAGCACAAAGAGCAGCTTTGGACAAGATCTACACAGATCATGGACTCTTGCCTCATAGCCCATTTATGAAGAAAATGTAGAGAGTGTTCAATTTTTGTCACAAATTTAAACAGGCTGAACGACTCTTCTCTTTGTAATATTCTCCCAAATTCAACTTAGAATTATTCTTTTGGGGTTTTGGGGTTTTGGGGTTTTGGGGTTTTGGGG